CCAGGACCCTACTAGTATATTCGAAAGCGGGGAGTCGAACCCCGGACCGCGAGCTTCCCCTCAGTGGCCGCATTCGGCTATTGGCTGTGCTCGCGGTGTTCCGTACACCACGTCTGATTCCTTTCATTTATCTTTCCCTTGGATAACCTTAGAACTTTCAGCATGGGGGAAAAACTTGCAGGATACATGCAAATTCGGATGCAGGGAGTCGAACCCCGGCTTGAGAGTTACTGACTTCTTTCGACAGGGAGCAAGGTGGGCTCGCTGTGTGCCGTACACCACGTCCAATGAAACGCATTCTTTATAGTCTGGTTACACGTAGAAATTTCAACGTAGAAAGACCCAAAAAGCAGAAGAAGCCATGCGATTCGGACGCGGGGAGTCGAACCCCGTCTTGCGAGCTAACGCCGAAGGGGAAAACCTGGCAGGTGGGCTCGCTGTGCGCCGTACACCACGTCCGATTCCTTCCTTTATCCTTCCCTTAAATAACCTGAGAATTTTTAGCGTAGGAAGAAAAAAAAATCACAGGATGATATGATGTTGGGGAATTCGGACACGGGGAGCTTGCAAGCTACTCTTTTCATCCGTCCCCAGATGAGCTCGCAGTTCGCCGTACACCACGTCCAATTCCCTCCTTATCCATGCCCTTATTAAACTGGAGGATTTTTAGCGTAGGAAGAAAAAAGGGATGACAAGTCAATGTAAAAAGACAGAATTCGTACGCGGAGATTGCGCAGAGAGTCGAACCCAGTGCTGCGAGCCGTACCTCCCACTCTTCATTGATCAACTCGCAGACCGGGTTCGACTCCCCGCGTCCGAAGACTGCTTTACATTGCGATTTCTTTTTCTTTTTGCTGCGAGTCATAACAATTCGACAGTTTACGCAGGTTTTTAACTTGGTGCTTGGATCACCGCGAGCCTGCCTCCATGCGTCCAAATGGACACTCGTGATTTTTTATTTTGTCAAAATACGGCTGCCTTCCTTTTTTATTTTCACTACGCTGAAAATTTCTACAGTTTAACAAGGGGAACAATAATTGAGGGAATCGGACCTGGTGTACGGTGCAGCGCGAGCCCACCTACGATATCCTTGCCACAGGCGAAACTCGCAGGACGGGGTTCGACTCCCCGCGTCCGAATTCCAAGTTGGGTAGACAACTTTTTTTGTTCCCACGTTGAAAATTCTACAGTTCAACAAGGGAACTGATAAAGGGACTAATCGGACGTGGTTTACGGGACACAACGAGCCCGCCTAACCGTTCGAAAAGTAGCTCGCGAGCCGGGGTTCGACTCCCCGCGTCCGAATTCCCGATTTCCTGTAATTTTTTTGTCTTCCCACGTTGAAAATTCTATGCCCCTCCCCTTCCTCGCAAGCTCGGGGGGTCCCCCGAACCGGGGCATCTTAGGTGGGCACGCTAAAGACTCGTTCGCGCGTTCTTTCTGAAATGGGGGCATAAGCCTTCGATGTGGGAAAAGAGAAAACGTGGGATTCAAACCCACGCCCCTGAGCTATTGCGAAGGTTCAAGTCCCAGGAATTTTCCGCGCCGGCGTTCTAGGGCGCCAGGCCTCTCGGCGTCGTTTGCGGGTCCTGGGCGTCAACAACTTTTGGTGGGATCGGCTTTCATTTCCCTTTTGGGACGGCGCCAAGAACTTTTGGGTGCGATTCTGATTTCATTAAGCTCATACAGGACGATAAGGACAACAGGTATTGCCACTGAGCCAGACCAAATTAAGCCGTGCTATGTCGGAGATTTTGATGGAATCAACTGTGCGGCGAGGCGGGCTCGCGGTGCGCCGTACACCACATCCGAGTATTTGAATTGTTCAGACCTGGTTGAACTGTAGACATTTTCAGCATTAAGGAAAAAACTCGAGCCAGCAGAGGTTGGACGCGGGGAGTCAAACCCCGTGTTGCGAGCTGTGATCATTTTGGCGGTCAGGTGGACTCGCTGTGTACCGTACACCACGTCCGATTCCATGTTTCATTCAAAACCCTGTTAAACAGTATAATTTTCAGCGGGTGTGGTAATAAAAAAACAATTGAAGAAAGAGCTATTCGGACAGCTACTTCTTTGGTTCAATTAGTCCGTAGAAATGCTCGCGGTACGCCGTACATCACATCCGATTTCTTGCTTTCCTCATGCCTTGAATAGCCTGGATAATTTTCAGCAGAGGTCAGAAAAAAAATGAACACTGGATAAGAGATATTCGAACACGGGGAGTCGAACCCCGTCCTGCGAGCTTCCTGATCAACTGGGATGATTACGTGGGCTCGCGGTGCGCCGTACACCACGTCCGATTCCTTCCTTTATCCTTTCCTTGCATAACCTGTAGACCTTTCAGTAGGGTAGGTGTAGTGAAAAAAATCATGCAGGCAAACGCTATTCGGATGATTTCTTTCGTCATCTATTCCTTTTTATTAGCCTGTACAAAAGGTCAGCTTAGAAAGAAAAAAAAAAGGAAAGACAAGCGCTCTCCAATCATTCGGACGCAGGGAGTCGAACCCCGGCTCGCGAGCTACTTTTGTATAGCATGGAACAATTAGGTGTGCTCGCGGTGCGCCGTACACCACGTCCGATTTCTTGCTTCATTCAAAACCTCGTTAAACTGTATGATTTCAGCAGGCGCACCAATTGTCGGAAAATCCAAAATTAGGTGACCAGGCAATATATGGCCAAATATTGCCTGGTCAGCCCGTCAGGCCACTGGGGTGGACATAAGGTTCGAAAGTGACCAATAACTGTCTATCAGCCTGATAACCCTGACAGGGCCTGATTGGTCTGACCACTCCATATCGCACATTATAAGGACTAGCCCAGAAAATAGAAAAACCAGTAGTGACTACTAGGATTTCTAGCAGTCACTAACATTCGGTCCTTCCACTTCCCTGGAATCTAATGAAGTTAGTCAATTGAATTAGAATTGTGAACTCACCGGGATTAGAACGGGTGACCTAAGGTTGAGATTTAAAAAGCTGGGGCATCAACATAACCACTAGGCTACAGCAAAGTTAAACATGTACAAAATGTGGTTCACTACATACCCATCCTCAGATGCCTTATGTCATCTGATACCCCCTGATGACCGAATATCACCTCTGGTATCCAGATATTACATGTAGCTCCTACCGTCGCACATTAACAATGAAATTCTGTTTGCATTTCAAAGCAACAGTTATGCATCACGGTTGAAATTCCGCCGCAGATCAGCCCAAATAGGGTGATTTGATCGCGGCAGGTCTTCGGCATATTCGAGCTCCGCACCCAACCACACACCGCTGGTCAGCCTTCCTCTCCTCCCCCCCCCCCCCCACCACTGTTAAACATCAAGTACTCACCGCACCCGCCGAACGTGGCATGGAGCCGTCGCCATTGCCGCCATTCACTCATTATTTGCGCTCGACGCCGCACTTTCTCGTCCACCAACATCCCACAACGAAGGAAGCTTGTCTGCAACCTAGTACAGCCATTGGTTTCCAGTTACATTGGGCTCTCAGCGTCTCTTTCGGAGCCAGTCCAGTGGTGAGACGTCTCTTCCACTCTTTTTTCTCTGTCTCGCTCATGTTGTGGTAGATACTATGGACGCGGACATGTTTTTACGCTGCAACAGTTAATATAATATTTATTTGTGTAAACAGGAGCATTCTGAGGACGGCCTGAGCAGGCCATATACAGCCTAGTACAGCCTGATAGGTCCTGATACGTCCGTCAGGCCCTATAAGGCAAATTGGGATTTTCCGACAATGGTAATAATAATAAAAAGGCAAATCAGCGGTCCACATTCGGACGCGGGGAGTTGAACCCCGGATTGCGAGCTACTTTTCAGCGATCTGCGGAAATGAGCTTGCGGTGTTCCATACACTACGTCCGAATAGTTGGTGTGTTCAGGATCTGGATTAACTGTGTCAAGTTTCAGCACAGATGGAAAAAAGGTTGCCAGGATAGGCGAAATTCGGACGCGGGGAGTCGAACCCCGTCTGGCGAGCTGTCATCATCAAGCTGGTGGTCAGGTGGGCTCGCAGTGTTCCGTACACCACGTTCCAGTAGTTGCTTTATCCTTCCCTTCAATAAACTGTATAAATCTCAGCAGGGGGGGTGAGAAAAAAACAATAAGGGATAAGACGTATTCGGACGCGGGGAGTCGAACCCCAGTCTGCGAGCTACCCATTTCATGCCAGCTACTGATTTCATTTTATGCCAAGCGGGCTCGCGGTGTTCCGTACACCACGTCCGATTCCTTCCTTCACCTTTCCCTTGAATAAACTTGTAGGAATTTTCAGCGGGGTGAAAAATAAAAAAGTGATGGAGAGAGTCATTCGGATGCGGGGAGTCGAACCCCGGCTTACGAGCTACTCGTTCCCCCAGTTAGAAGATGAAAAACGCGGTGTTCCGTATATCATGTCCGATTCTTGTACTCTCCTCATGCGCCTTGGTTAACCTGGGAATTTTTAGCGTGGTGAAAAAAAACGCAGTAGCAGAGAGGGTTATTCGGACGCGGGGTCTGCGAGCTATGTATTCTTTGAGTACCTGAAGATGGGCTCGCGGTGTGCCGTACACCCCATCCGATTGCCTCCTCTCTTCTTGTTCGGATTAACCTATGGAAGTTTTCAGCTAGGTGAAAAGAAAGAAAAAAAGGCAGATACTAGAACCGTCATTCGGACGCGGGGAGTTGAACCCCGATCTGCGAGCTAAGCAGTCAAAGGTGATCAACATACGTACTTGCTGTGTTCCGTACACTACGTGCGAGTATTTAGTGTATTCAAAACCTCGTTAAACTGTTGAAATTTCAGCGGGTGTAGTAATAAAAAAAGTGGTGAAGGCAGGAGATATTCGGACGCGGGGAGTCGAACCCCGGCTTGCGAGCTACTTTTCAACGGCCTGCATAGATGAGCTCGCGGCGCGCCGTACACCACGTCTGAATGCTTCCTTTATCCTTCCCTTGAATAAGCTGTACAAATTTTCGGCGGGGTGAAAAATAAAAACAAACAGAGCGAGATCCATTCGGACGCGGGGAGTCGAACCCCGTCCTACGAGCTACTTGGCTTCTATCCTTGAAGATAAGCTCGCGGTGCACCGTACACCACGTCCGATCATTTCCTTTATTATCGCCCTGATTAAATTGTGAAATTTTCCATGTAAGTGAAAAAAAAAATACAATGACACATGGGTATTCGAACGCGGGGAGTCGAACCCCAGCTTGTGAGCTAACCGTTATCGGAGCAAGTTTACGTGGGCTCACGGTGCGCCGTACCGTCCGATTATTTAGTATGTTCAGAACCTGGAATAGGTGGCATAGTTTGGCGTGTGATGGTGTCTTTGGTACGTGGGCACGCACGTTCCTGGTGTCTAGGCGTTCAACGTTGAACGATGAAATATCTGTGATACCGGCGGTGTAGTCCTACCTACCTACCTCTGTGATCTGCGCTCAGTGGGATACTTCATGTTAAGTATGTCGTGATGGGTGATAGAACGTGGAAGATCCATGCTGTCGCTGTCCAAGCCACTGCGATGTGATGCTCTAGGACGATTTGTGGGAAAGTGGAGATGGAAGAAAAAAAGTGTGGGGATGGATGGGCGAGCGAGCGAGGTGTCTGTCTGTTGCACCGTTTCGGTCATCCCGGGGTGCGAGTATATGTGATTGAAACGTGTCTACGTTGCGTCGACCTAGACCCAGAGTGACCAACGCTGAACCAGAAGGACCCAGAGCTTCCGACTCGATCATAATCGAGTCACGAATTAACCCGACGCTCTGAGCATGTTTTAAGTGGCTGGCAGCGGAGGTGAATGTGACATCAGTGTACATCAGATGTCAGTGATAATCACCTTGATACGGTGGATGTAAGCCTCAAATCATGGCATCCGAGGCAAAAACGATGCTTTTAGGTGATTCACAATAGATGCCCCAACTTGAGCCCCAACTCGAGTGAAGTTGGGGTCACAAATCCTTATTTGAAACACCCTAATGTCCAGGGCCCAACCTGGGTAGCTTGGGCACTGGTTTGCGCCACAATGTGCCCACCACTATTTCCATTGCCCGTTATACCAAACCGCTGTGGCAACCCCACCATTCCAAGGGTGATGCCAAATCGGTCAGAAGGACCGATTAAAACCGAACGTTCCGCCGAACCCTGGGTCATTTCCGGCAAAATCCGGCCCTTGGAATGACCGATTTTTCAATCTTGACGCGACCGTTTTGGAACACGTGACCTCTTGAGAAACACTGCCGCGGCATTCTGCTACCAGAGATGGGCTCAAGTCCACCTCTTCTGGGTAACTCATTTTGTACCTCTGGACCCCATAAAAACTCATTTTGAAGCCTGAATAAATTTACATCGTGGACGATCTACAACAACAAAATTACATGTTACATTCAATGGAGGCGACACAACTCAAACTGGTACAATGTGCTCTGGAGTGCTGTAATGACCCAGAATAAGCATATGTGACTTCACGGAGGAGCGCCAGGCAATGTAGGATGGTGCCATCACAACACTATCATGACGCCATCACGACATTCTCAAGACTCACGGACGGGTATCACGGACGGGTAATTATGTGAACATGCAAAACAATTCTCTCTTTCTTGCTACCCTATTTCACTGTCTTTTGTCATTCAAGGACAGCGAGCTGTGAAGTACAAGCAAGCTTCATGACAACAGGCATGCAGGGGGCATACCGACTTCATTTTGAAAAGCACGCCTTGCACACCGTAGATTTACGTGGAAATTGAAATTGTGCACGCTATGAGCCGAAACTGCGTGGTTACTAACCCTAGCCATATGGCTACGCCTTCCAGTCACCCCACTGGCCCCCCAGCACAACATTGTAGTGGAAGGACTTATTGCATCTTGAAGTCACCCTATGCACATGGTCCACAAAAGCTAGCCCTATAGCCCCGGCCCCAGCCTGAACCCTCGCTTAGGGTTAGCTTATGGTTACTGTACCATTTCGATCAATTCTCCGCGGCTGTGACCCGTGACTGACATTTTCGAACTTGAGTATTTGTAAATGGGCCCAACCGACCGTGACAGCAAAAAAAGTTCGTAAATCGTGGCAAATGCCCTGCCTGCAACACAAACTCTGTGTGCAATTTTTGGGATGGTTTCCACTCTGATACAGCATTTTTATGGGAATCAGCAAAGTAGACACCTGTTTTATACCAATCCCACTCGAATCCATCTGCTTTTAGGCCTGTTTTTATCTTCCGCCTCGAATTCGGTTTTAAGAACGAGGGAACACTGCCAAAAATAAAAATTCATGCGCCGAGCGCAAAATTTGGATTTTTGAGGGCATTTTCGCCGTTTTTGTGACTTCTTTTGCACATTCGAAAATCCCTTCGGTGACCCGTGACAGGCCCGAAAATATTCGTAAATTTGAGGCCCTGTGACGCGTGACAGGAGAATTGAACGAAATGGTACAGTAGATTTATGGATGCCCCTTGAAATCCAGGAATTGTCCCTAATAACCCTAACCCATTTTAGCCAAAATGGCTCTTAAAGAAGGATCGGAATCCAGAGCTGGATTCTCGGATAAGGTGTGTAGGCCCTAACTACGTACACCCAGGCTTTTGTACTACGGATCAGAAACTATGTAAATAAAGGAAAACAGATTGGGGTTTCAAGGGATCGTGGACACCATGCGGAGCAGGTCTGATGTGAAAAGGAAAAGACGGTTTGGGACAAGGGATTGAAAAGACGAGGTAGAAGAGAAAGGAAAGGAAAGATAATGAACGGACGGACAATGGAGTACCCATAAAAGGAAAGTGGTTCAAAAGATAATATATGCGAGAGCGTACCCTTACAGAAAAGCTGCCTCAAGCTCCTTATCTGGAATATCCGGGAGGGGCCCCATCTGACAGTTGTTGCGCCGATGGTGAGTGAATCTGTGCTTCCATCTCGTACATGCGGGCGGTCAATTCCCTTAGCTGCGAAAGAACATCCGCGTGTGGAGATCGACGTCCCTCGACACTCGGAATCCTCCCCGTGGTTGCACCCTGTGATGTGACCTGTGCGCGTCGCTCAGATTCCTGCATATTGACCGTTTTCTCCTGGGCGGCACTAAGCTCGCTCTGTGCGTACCCCCGGCGTACTGTGCTGTCGCTTCGTGAATCGGAATTGTCTGCAGTTGAAATGGGCGCGAGAAATTGGGGAGCTATGGTGGGCAACGAAGTGGCACTGAGATCCATGTGTACATTTTGGCGTTTGTATCGTCGCAAAAGAAATATGCCAATCACGATAATGGCGCACACCGCGACAACAATTCCAATGATGGCTGCTGTCTGCACCGTATTTCTTCAGGGTCGCAATATTAGACCAAGGTTCGTTAAGTAGCGGGAATCCCTCCTCACCGGTGTGTAGATGGAAGAACATGGGTCGAACCAAAAGGTGTTGCGGTGTTCACACCTGTTGTTGACGAAGGTGAAGTTGTACTTGGTGATATCACTGTATTTCTGGAGAACAGCAAATATCAGACCAAAGTTCGCCGAGTAACGGGAATCCTTCCTCACCGCTGTGTAGATGGGAGACCTTGGGACGAGCCAGAAGACGTTGAACTGGTGTCCTTCACACCTGTCGCTGACGGGGGTGAATTTGGACTTGGGGAATTGGTTCCCTGGGGGTCGGAGGGGGCAGTGTGGCTTGCACCGCCTGGCGGGCTGGAGGGAGCGGAAGCTGTTGTCACAGCGAATGCTTGGGCAGCTGCCAGGTCAAAAGTACTAGGCTGCAACATTCAGTAATTTATCTACACTGTTGACGGCATATCGTGATCTGAACCACGTACCAAAGGAGTCGCAGAAGCCATCGCCAAGGCCCAGGCAGGATATCCGGCTGGAAGGTCACATGAAGAAAATTACATGCTGTTATGAAGGAACTGACGAGGTAATACCGGCGGAACCCTAAATGTAAAATTAGATCAATGGCTTCGCAAATACGGTGAAAGATCAAACGCACTGAAGAGGCGGCCCAGTGCTCTTACAGCCAAGGCGGTTGATTCCCGAAATATACTCATCCCAACTTGATGCCCTGGTCAGTCAATCATAGGATAAAAAGGGACAAAGCCACTTTTCAGTATTGTCAGCACACGCGAGACATGCAGCAGCCAGGAAATATGTAGCCGCAGTCATGCCGCAACTACATTCCTCTTCCAGCGACCCTGTGGTGGAGAATGAGGGGGAAAGATACATCCCTGGATGGAAACAACAAACCCGGGCAAAACGAGTAGAGGGTGCATGGTGGGCTCTCGCCAACCTTGTCCCTTAATTAAGCTAGTGGCAGAGGAGATCGATGAAGTAACCACTCACTAGTGCGCATGTAGGCATTATCTGGGACCGTTGTATGTATGTGAACTTGCGGATGATCGTGTGAGACCAGCGGGTTGCAGCGAGCATGGATGCACAGGACCACAGGGCGAAAGTGGGCACAGGCTGTGCAAGGTCGCAGCTGACGGACCTGCGCACCCGACTATACTGCTCTCAGAACCCTGAGCACTGTAAGCGGCTGTACAATGGAGCCCACATAAAGGCACGCACCTGAGCAGCAATGGAACAGTCTGCAAGCGACGATACCTGAGGACGAACACGGGAGTGGGAGGGAGAAAGGAAAAGAGGGGGGAAACCGGCAGTGCCCTGCCCGCGGGCACCAGGAACACCATCGCGAGAGTATCATGATAGACTGACAGCGATGCGAGATTCCATCACGAACGTGAAGAGTGCATTCCGAAAACAGAGAGTGCAGGTCTTGGTGTGAGACTGTGGGTACATCGTGATCAGCCCCAGATCAATTTTCTTAGCTATGGGAGGAGTCCTGGCCCGCGCAATCCGAGATATGTAAGTCAGTTGTCAGACTGCAGACTTCCATCTTGATTTTGGTGATCGCAGCTCGAGAATCAATCAGTCGGCTGCAGAAGGAACAACTTGAATGGATGGCAGCGGATGGCCGAGGCAACGAAGGCTGATAGGAACAGGACCGTCTTGATTCTTCGGATTCTGCAATATCTCGTGTATTAAGCAGATGCCTCGAATCAGAGTGTACATGTTTACCACCGAAAATACCCCATTCGTTACCCCTCTATCACGAATTAGCTCAGACGCCCG